GCACACCCCGGCAGCCGCCATGACTACCAGGGTTAGGCACTCGCTGGAGGGAGAAGAGCCAACACGAGGGCTTGGGGTGTTTCCCTGCGCCCAGATTTTATCGCTTGGCTAAGGCGGGTGGTTTACCAAGTCAAACCCGACCTCCTGCTGCTGGCCCTGGGTGGGAAACGAGGTCTCACTCCATTTCTGAGGCTGAAAGATCGCTCCGCGGCAGCCGCCATGACTACCAGGGTTAGGCACTCGCTGGAGGGAGAAGAGCCAACACGAGGGCTTGGGGTGTTTCCCTGCGCCCAGATTTTATCGCTTGGCTAAGGCGGGTGGTTTACCAAGTCAAACCCGACCTCCTGCTGCTGGCCCTGGGTGGGAAACGAGGTCTCACTCCATTTCTGAGGCTGAAAGATCGCTCCGCGCGGATTTTGTGGCACCGAACCGGTGCAGGCAGGGCCATGACTCCCCAGGGGAACGTCTCCAGTGGGTTTATCCCTTAGAAGCGTGTTACTCCATTGCATCCCCGGTGAGACAGGAGAAGAATGGGGAAGAAACCCCACCACAAAAGCTTCAACTCCCTCTCCTCAAGGCCCTGACCAAGGCACGTGCCAGCCCCGCAGCGCAGAGGGGTGATTCCCCCGCCCCCCCCAAATCTCCCTCGGGAGGCTCGGGCACCCCAGGCACCCACCTGGACCTCTGGAAGAAGTTGAAAGTGGAGAAGTCGTAGGCAGCTTTCAGTAAATGCACTTTGGGGTCTCCTTTGTAAAGGACACTTAGGCTGTAGAGCCTCATGGCGGCGTCTCCTGCTGGCCTGGGCGGAGGGAGGAGCACAGGGTGAGGCAGGGGCCGGCAGCCCCAGGCTGGGAGCCGGGACCCCCCAGAGCCCCCAGCCCTCGTCTGGCCTGACAGTGGGTTTTGGCCAAAGGGCACCTCGTGTTCCCCAAGGTACTTCTCCTTGAAGAGAAGGGAAACAGAGGGTTGTAGGTAGCGGGCACATGTTACCGAAGTCATGGGAAGAAGGATTGGAAGGAGCCTCATGATCCCTGCAAGCCCTGAGGCTGGGGTGCTGATGAGGTCTGAGGAAAGAGTTGGTGGTTCAGGTTTTTGGGCAGGTGCAGGACAGTATGAGCATGGAAATCCCTGTGCACCTCTTTGGACCGCTGGCTGGCATGGCAAGGCAGGCACCAAGCAAGGAGGGAGGGCATCTCCGATGCGTCAAGTGCATTTGCAGTGCGAGTTAGGGAAAACGGGTACACACATCTGTGTCCTTTCTACCCGAGGTGCTGTGCCAGCTGCTGGTGGTGCTCGGCACATCCAGCCTGTGATGGGAGTTAATTTGTGCAAAAGCCCCTGTGGGGGTCTCGTTTAGAGCTCGTTACATCACTGATGTTGGGGCAGGTCATGGGTAAGTTCTGCCCTGAAGCACGCTGCTCCTGTATTATTCATGGGCCTTCATGAATTAGCAATGGGCCGGGAAGACTGCTTTCTATTACTTACAGAGTTGCCCTTAAGTGCTAGGACAGTGGCTCTCCCTGGCAGCCTCATTTTTTGAGGATATTTGCAACGGAGCAGAACTTCTGCCCTGTTGCCTCTGAGCTCCCCCAGTTCCCTGCCAGGTCCTAGGGTACAACGCCAGTTACCTGATCTGCTGTTAGCCAAGACCAGGTCTCTTACCCCCATGCCATCCCATGTCCTGCTGGTAGCAGTGACCTTGGGAGAATCCTGACGAGAATGTGGATTCATGGCCATGCTGAAAAGGATGCAAAGCCTGTGTGGGGCACTAGCAGTGCCTGTTGTAGCGTGCAGGGAATGCCTCGTCATTCTAATCCCACCAAATCACTGTGCTAATCTGTTCTGGTCGGTTATATTTAGTGCTTTGACCTCTGAGTAGCTTGTCTGAGCCTTGTACCTGTCTTGCAAAGGTTCCGCCATGGCGCCCATCACCGATCCGGGGATAAGGGGGGATCGCCGCGTCCCCCAAAACCGGCGCCTGTCTGCAGTCCGCCATGGCGCCCAGCACCGATCCGGGGATAAGGGGGGATCGCCGCGTCCCCCAAAACCGGCGCCTGTCTGCAGTCCGCCATGGTGCCCAGCACCGATCCGGGGATAAGGGGGGATCGCTGTGTCCCCGTCCCCCAAAACCAGTGCCTGTCCTCAGTCCACCACGGCGCCTGGCATCGATCCCAGCATCTCTGGAGCTTTTCCCATCCTGGGGGCACGGGGCACTTCCCAGGCGCCCTCGCCCCTCGCCGGGCGGCCGTAACCTTTGCCATCGAGCGCCCGACTCCTCCGGCCCGGCGCGGTCTCCATGGGAGCGTGCCAGGTTGCTAAGCCGTCCGGTGGAG